GGGTCAGCGCCCAGTCGAAACTGGCACAAAGGCAGCCTATGCCTTGTGGATGCTAGCATGAAGCAAGTCAAGGCAGGCATAAAGGAGGCCATTGCCTAGGAGAAGCTGGCACAATGGTGGTCAGTGCCTTGTGGTCGAAGGCAACTTTTTTGCCTGGCACATCAAAAGAAGCTTTTTGCCTGATGGATCAAAGGCAACCCTGAAGGAGTCTTGGCCTTGTGTGCTGAAGGCAAGCTGAAGAGGCATACATGTGCATGGTGATACGTTGAGGGTTTTTTTTCCCAGTGGGAGCTTTGTGAATCAAAGGCCAGTTTGGAGAAGTTCTTGCTTTGTGAGTTGAAGGCACACCCAGAGAGATCATTTTCCTAGTAGAAGCAAGAAACAAGCTTGATACAAGGAAAACAAATGCTCAATTGAAGGAAGGATCCAGCTTGCATGCAGGTAGCCATTGTATTTGTGAGTCAAGCCAGCATGCAAAGATAGTGGTGCAATCGAAGGTGCACTGACAAGAAGCCCTTCCCCTTTGGATTGAAGGAGATTATTTTAAAGGGAAAACATGCCCAGTCAAAGCTTGTATACAGTAAGCAAGCAATAGTCCAAGGCTTCAATCAAAGCTTAGAAAATTGAGGCAAGCTTGGAGGAGGTTAGGCGCCCAATCGAAGCTTATCAAAATTCCAATCGAAAGACTCCTTGTTCATGTCAATCAAAAGACCTTGTTTACCTTTAAAAAAAATTTATTTTTTCCTTTAATCAAATGCTTGTAATCACCATGTAAGAGAAAGATCTTGGGAAAATATGATAGGGCAAATTTTGGGGTACAACACACGTGAAAACTGCCTTAGTAAGGGAAGAAGTAAAATGTTTTACCCTTAAGTTTTCATTATTCGACATATCCTCAGATTCAGTCAAATACCTAGCAATATGTTCCACTGTCGACTCTCCAGATTCTCCCCCGAATTTTGTATACTTAGGAATTTTCCATCCTCTAGGGTTTTCAGTCTATAAGATATATTCAGGCAAAGGGGAAGAATATGTTGGCCTCTGAAGTGTAGTATTCATACCATTCCTAGCCATAATTCTTTTGACAATGGTGGTTAAATTATTTTCTACGGCTAAATCCTCTTGTAGAATTTGTTCAACAATTTGATCAGCCTCTTGATGCCGATGTACTAATGCCCCAGGTGGATCGACAATCAAATTCCTTGGAGGTATTAGCACTTGTCCCTGATGGACAGTTTCATCTTGTATTGCCCCCATGTCCATTTGACCAGGGGCATCTAGTCGAACAAGTGGCACCTGTCGAATAGGTGTTGGGGGAGCACCTAAAAAATTACACAAACGTGTTAATAGGGCAATCACTTGTCAATTTGTTTCAGCGGACTGCCTATTAGTCTCATCCGACTCTTGTACTATAGGATTAAATACATTACCCATTTGGTTAGTTAACATATTAACCAACTTATGGTTATTATCATCCATTTGTTGCCTTAACACTGCTACTGAAGTGTTAGTGAGAGGCGGTACTATTGGTTGAGAAGGCATTCCTCTAATTTGGTTTCCTCTATTATTTCCTCCTGGTGTAGATCCTTGTAAAGGGGAGTTCAAATTTTGAACATTATCTAACACCACTGTTGCATTCGATGTTGACTGGTATCCTGGCATCATGGAATACGACATTCCATAAACAAGATCCACATTACCAAACCGAGGCACATTAGGTATGGTGGTCATAGTCATTATAGGCCTTGGGCTTCCCGGTGGAGCCTGAGAAATTTGTGTGGAACCTGCTGCAGTTGACCCGACTGAAGGAAAAAGTGCAACTTGAGAAACTATTGGATCAGTAGTAGTTAAAGTTCATGATGGTATTTCGTCTATGTTTGGATTATCAGGAATTGTAATTCTTAATATATGCTTCCTAGATGATGGTTTATTATACTCTTTGGTTAACTTTCCATTTCTAAGCTGCATACACTTAAGACAAATTCTTAGCACTGTGTCCCACCAGGTGTGCCAATTTGTTTACTGTGGAAAATGGTAAACAACCGTTGGTCCTCCTAAAGTCCTAAAACTAAGGGTAACTCGCAAGATTGACCAGTTAATCTTAAGACACGTGCTAAGAGTTTTATTATTATACTTATTCTATCGAAATCCTTATCAAGGGAAACGGTTTTTGGTGATTAAGGGAACAAGTATAACGAATTTCCACACTATGAATCGATCGACTGACTGGTGACTCGTGACTGACAGAAGGTATTCATATGAAAATAAGATTCAATAAACTAACTGACTGGTGACTCGTGATCGACAGAGAGCATTGAATTGTTTACGCGAAGTAGAAAATAACGTAAAGACTTTGTTCAACAGTACATAGAAAGCGAATAAAGTATTCAAAAGAGATAATTGAAAAAATAAAGGATTTGTATTGAAATAAAAGTGGTGATTCACGTACGTCAAGCACTTCTTCACTCTTTGTTTCCTAACGCTCATAATGACAGAGTTTTGACAAGTGATTTGAGCATACAAGTGAACACCCCAAAAACTACACTAAATCTGCTTATTTATAATATTTACAATGTAACTGCCTAGATGAAATCTACAGACAATATTAAAATCTTGAGACAACCGCTTCACTGGATGTCACCACCTATTGGACGCTTAAACAAATTGTAAACTGCTGGCAACTGCTGATGACTTTGAAACTTAAATCTTCCTGCTCCTAGCTTCTGAAAGTAAACCGCTTCTGACTCGCTTCGACACTTTCTCTTTGGCAAAATTTAAAAATCAACAACAATTCCTCTAAGTCCATAAATCCTTTTGGTTGACAAAAACCAATTTCGACTATTTTCCTTGTCTTTCACCCTTTGGTCGACTAAACCAATTTCGACTATTTCTTAACATATATTCTTTTATTTTCTTTTGGTCGACCTGGCTCAGTTTTGACAGTTTGGCATGACATTCCCTTCAAACATTAAATCTAGTTTAATAAAATCATGTTTTCAAACACTTTGGCTCCAATTTCCCAAAAAAACCTACTTTAGAGGATGACCCTTAGCTTATAAGAATATCCTCATTTAATACACGTGTTTGAATACCTTAAGATTTTTCAAGGTAACATAAACACAACAAACTTCAATCATGAGCATCATCACAATACAATCAACATCTATAACATCACATTGTTACACACCCACATACATACTTGGACAAAGAGATTACAAAATAAACTCACAAAAATAAATTCAATCAAAATAGATAACAACTCTTTTCTTTGCAATCCACGCCACACATATCTTTTAATCAAAGGTCAAATATACTCGAAATGTTTTCCACTGATTCATCAAATAATTTCAGCAAAATTTCACCAAAACCCTGAAGTTTTCCCTCTTTTTTCTAACAGATTCTCACACACTTCAATTTTCCACACGAACAAACAAACTATATAAAGAAACCTACTGACTCATTGCAATGGATCTACCATTTTCCTGCGGTTACGCTGCTGAAGTTGAAACGAAACCTTAAAATCATAATCCTAACTTCCAAGCATCAACAACATCCAGAAGAAGAATAGAAAAAAGAGAGCAAGTGAAGAGTAAAAAAAGAGAGCAGAAGAGCATACCATCTTCATTGCCGTCGGAGTTTGCGTCAGATGTTGCTCCGGTTAGACATCCTTTAAGTTTCTTTTAAAAAAATTCTATTTAGGGGTAGTGGTCACGGAGAAAATTGATGTGCATAAGTTGATGATATGTTAAGATTTTTTTTAGAAAGAAACGACTACTATGAACTGGACGACAAATACTTTCGTTTATATATATAAAAAAAATATAATTTTTCATTACGGTTGACAAGACGAATCGTGATGATATATTATTTTAAATAAAAAATAAAATATATCACAACGGTTGAACAAAACAACCGCAGTGATCTCCTTTTTATTTTTATTTAAAAAAAATAAAAAATAAAAAGGCGCGCCTTAACGTTAAAGAAATAAAATGTTTGAGGATGTTGAGGTTTGAACTCATGAAAGCTTGATTGTATCACCACAGTGAAAGTCACCAATCTTTATTATATCCTAACAATTTTTAATTAAAAAATATATAAAATATTAGCGCCTTAGTTTAGAGATGTCACCACGGTGTTTGGAAGAACCGTGATGACTTGGACGTTGTTGTATGCGCGTTTTGTAGTAATGTCTTATTGATTTTGTATGAGAGAAATTAATTATTCATTACATTTTCGACGATGTTTTATTCTTTCAGTTGTCCTTTCTGATAATCTTCTTCATTTTCTTTGTCACTCGGCTTATTCATTCGTCTTCTTTGTTTACTAAAAAATGTTTCACATATTCTCTCATTTAGAAAGTACCGCACATATATATATATATATATATATATATATATATATATATATATATATATATATATATATATATATATATATATATATATATATATATATATATATATATATATATATATATATATATATATATATATATATATATATATATATATTATAGACGAAAAATAGAATATGATGACTTTTTTTATGAATTAACTAAAATAGAGAGATTTAAATTTAATTAAAGTATTTAATATATGGATATAATATTTTTTTTCAAAAAAGAAAAAGAAAAAGAAAAGTGAGAGTACGTGACTATATTTAAATGTAATGGGTGATATGTGTGAAGAATTGAATTACAATTTAACAAACACAACAAGTATCTTAGCATGTGTATGTGTAAGGGAGGAGTCAGATTATGTTTACCACATGCATGCATTCGACGATTCCAAAGCTTTGATGTAGTAAAAACTAATGCAAAAGATAAACACCTTTCCTATCTCCAAGAGAATCACTTGCATATAATACTAAATAACAAAATGTTTCATTTCATGTCAGAGCAAAAAAAAAAAATGGAAATTTGAAGTTTGCATTTGCAACCTTTGTTTGGTGATTTGGATTATTGCATGCATTTGATGAGTTTGGTTTTGACATCACAAAAAATGTTGAACGTGGAAAAAGTAACCAAGTTGAGTTCTATTTTCACCACTTTCTTAGTTCTTGTTCTCTTTTCAGTTTCTAAGTATTTTCCTTACCTTTTCACACTTGTATTTGTTCTTTTATCTACTATGATAGTTTTCACAATAGCAAAGAAAAAAGGAGATGTTGCTCATACTGAGGCTAGTGAAACTTCTCATAATCAAAGTGAAGCACATTCATATCCTACACAAGCTGATCCATATTCAGATTCTTCATTTCCATTAGATAGTGAAAATAGTTATAGTTCAATTACTGATCAAAGTTTTGAAATTGATCTTAGAAGAAATCGAGATAATGACGAGGAGGAAGATGAGGACGATCTTATTGAAATCGATATTTCAAGGAGTTTGGATTTTATTTTCAAACAGGAGAGTTTCATGGATCACTTAGAAGAAATTAATGAGGATGGAAATTTAATTGAAATTGATATTCTCAAGGGATTTACAAAATATCAAGATTTTAGGTTTAAGGAGTTGGCATGTTTAGGTGATTAATGTGTGTTTAGTGATTGATCCTTATTTTATTTTTATCTTAAGCTGCTATTTTAGGTTAAGTTTCAACCATTAACATCTTAAGATGCTTTGTTTAGTGTTGTGTGATTAGTTTTAATTTTAATTAAGCCTCGTTTATCGATTTTATGAGTTTTGAACACATTACTCACTATTCATATGTCCCAAAGAACTAGAAATGCATTGTTCATATGGTTTTATTTTATAAAAAAGTATTTATTATTAAAATTAAAATTAAAAAATCAAATTTATCTTCTTCTTCAACTTTGAATCTTCTTCGTCTTTTTGTTCATCATCGACTTATTCGATACTTTCATCTCTTACTCCTTCTTCCATCTCTGCACCAACATTAAACTGAAATTTTTAGAGTTATTGTGTAGTTTAATAAAGTTTTATTTTTTCATAGTTAAATTTACTATTTAATTTGATAAATTTCTAACTTTAGTGCGGTGCCGCACGTCACACTCTTTCAAACACAATTCTAATCAATATTTTCAAATTCACCACAACCATACGCAAAATTAAAAAATTAAAAAAAAATTCAATAACAACAATACTCAAGAGATCACACTTTTTTTTTTTAAAAATATATATCTCAAAAATAATTTTTTAGCAAAACAAAGATCAAATAAAATTTTTATAAATTTTAATATAAAAATAAAGTCATAACAAAAAAATATATTTTAAATAATATTTAAAAAAAAACTATTTAAACTGATTTTTTACTTAAAATGTTTTTTCATTCTTTATAAAAAAGTTATTTTTGAATATTCTACAACTTTTCTACAAAATAATTTTTATAAACAAATATTTTAAGTAGAATATTTTCTTATAATTTGTAGATTTTTCATAAAATATTTCTTAATAATTTATAAATTTTTCTTTAAAAAATTAAAATAAAATATTTTAAAAAAAAAAATTCATTCTTTATAAAAAATTATTTTAGATATTCTACAAAATGATTTTTTTTTAAATAAAATATTATAAGAAAATATATAATAGACAAATACTATTTAGAATTTAAAAAATATTCTACAAATTTACTACTATATTTGTTAAATATAAGAAAAATCTCTAATAATAAAATATTCAATTGTTAAATTTGAATTTTTAAATTAATTAAAATTCATAAATAATGAGAGAAAAATATAATATTTACAAATAATGATATAAATTTTAAATTTAGAAAAATATGTTCAACGAATGTGTTATATCATTTTTATCAATTATAAGAACTTCATATACAGTAAAAAATTTAAATAAAAATGGTGTCATGGTCGCAAATTTATCAAACTAGAAATTGCATGTTTATGATCAAAGTTCTTTGTTTTTTCCACCAAGAGTTACTATATTTTATATTTCTTAAAAAAATAAAAATCGAATGCTCTATTATAAAAGGTAAAAATAGAATGCTCTATTATAAATGAAGTTCTTATAAATGATAAATATGATATAAAAAATCATTTTTAATTTATTTTAATCATATAAAACATGAAAAATATCACCACTTCTCATCTCATAATCAACAATAATTACAGCATATATACTCATTCATCAACATCAAATACATTTCATTATTCAATGATATGATGCGACTCAAAACTATGCAAATGCATGTGGTGTCATTGGAGCATAACTCCCATCTCAAAAATCTGCCAATTAATAGAGGCATCAACAAGGCATAGCCTTCATCTCAAAATTTGCCAATCCAGGCCATCTCAACGAGCATAAGCTCCATCTCAAAAATGCAATGTATGCGACTCTTCATGAATGTAATATCAACATCTCAATCATCTCAAAACACAACATCTCATAAACATCTCAGAACAACAACATCTCATAAACATCTCAGAACAACAACATCTCAATCATCTCAAAATAACAACATCTCATAAACATCTCAAAACATCTCAATTACAACATCTCATAAACATCTCAAAATAATTTATTAAACATCACTTATTTATCAAACGTCATTTGTTCATCATAACTATCAAACACAACTTTAATAACCACATCTTACTAATAACTCAACTGTATATTAATACTACAGTAATTCATACTGTTATTCTGCAGTTCTACTTCGTTTCTGTCACTAATCCTACTGTCATAATTCTAACAGCAGCCTCTAAACATCTCACATTCATCAATCTGTCCAAAAATCAACACAACGGTCATCTACGGGAATTAATTCTAAATCTTAGATTGGTTACTAGGATTACACCTCTTCATCATCATTTGAATCATCTAGATTAAAGTTCATCGCGTTAGCTAATAAACGCTTCGAACGACATCTCAAACAGCATCCTACAACTCAAGTTACAGCAATTTAAAAACTGATTCTGTCAAAATTAGTCAGTATGGGTCGACACGAAACTCTATGGATCGACGCATAATGCTTCTCCTGCACAGCATGAGTCGACACATCCTCCTCATGGATCGACTCATCCTGCTTCAAATCACAGCATGTATCGACACATGCACCTTACCGATCGACTCATCCTGAGTCTTGCAACTAACATGTATCGACGCAAGTCCTGCATGCATCGACTTATCCTGAGTCTAACATCGCCCATGTATCAACTCATCCAGCTTGAGGTCGACACATCTTGGTTCCTCCTGCATAATTTTCTGCGTTTTCTACTGTAATTCATTACGGGAATCTAATTACAGTCCTACAAACCTCATTATAATCGTGGTAATTCATCACTTAACATCATACTCTATTACTCCCTCGATCAAACAACATGATAACGTCATTATTCATCAAGAATTCATCAATATTCACCATACATCATTCATAACACATTCGATTAAAGAACAAACAACAATTACATCTAACCCCATATATCAAACATCATGAACCCAATTATAAAGTCAGAACCCCACCCTTACCTTGGATTGAAGGTCGCTCTACAAATTTCTGGGTTGAATCTTCGTTCTTGCTGTTTTCCACTTTTTCCAGCAGCTTCACGTTCTCTTCCAAATCCTTATTTTCTTCTAATGCCTCTTTCTTTCTATTCCAACAACAAATAATAAAATAACCTAATATTCTATTATTCCTTAGTGGGCTCCAAACTTACACCCCCTTATTACATCTACTATCTCAAATTAAGTCCACCTTAATAATATTACACTTCTAATATTATTTCACCATATAATAATATTATACCTCTAATATTATTATTTCTCCACTTAATAAAATAAATCTAATTAATTATAACACAACTTCGCAAATATTCCAAAAATAATGTAATTAAATAATTAATTAAATTACGGGCGTTACAACTCTCCCCCACTTAGAATATTTTCGTCCTCGAAAATTTACCTCAATCAAACAATTCAGGATAGGAGTCTCGCATCTTGCTCTCCAACTCCCAAGTCATGCTTTCTCCTGCAGCTCCTAACCACACCACTTTAACCAAGGCAATCTCTTTGCCCCTCAGAGTCTTCATTTCACGATCCGCGGTCCGTACAGGCATCGTCTCCACCGTAAGATTATCCCGTACTTGCACATCATCCATATGAATCAAATGAGATGGATCTGAAATATACTTCCGAAGTTGCGACACATGAAACACATCATGCAAATTCAAAAGATTAGGCGGTAAAGCCACTCTATAAGCAACATTCCCCACTTTCTACGAAATCTGATACGGTCCAATAAAACGAGAAGTGAGCTTCTTAGACTTCAATGCTCGCCCAACACCAGTCACAGGTGTAACTCTCAAAAACACATGATCACCGGCTTGAAACTCTAAATCCTTCCTTCGCTTGTCATGATAACTCTTCTGTCTACTTTGGGCAACTTTCATCTTTCTCGAATCAACTTCACCTTCTCAGTAGTCTCACGAACAAGTTCAGGTCCAAGCACTACACTCTCACCAGATTCATGCCAACATAACAGAGTTCTACATCTTCGACCATACAACGCTTCAAAAGGTGCCATCCCAATACTAGAATGGTAACTGTTTTATATGTGAACTCTATCAATGGAAGATAAGTATCCCACGAACCTCCCTGCTCAAGAACACATGCCCTTAACAAGTCTTCTAACGATTGAATCGTCCGTTCAGTCTGACCATCTGTCTGAGGATGATACGCTGAACTCGACCTCAACTTAGAACCCAACGCTTCTTGCAAACTCTTCCAAAAATCAGAAGTAAACCTTGGGTCTCTATCTGACACAATGCATAAAGGAACACCATGCAGCTTCACAATCACACTAGTGTAAATCTTAGCCAACTTCGACACTAGAAAAATGATGTTAATAGGAATAAAATGAGTTGACTTCGTAAGCCTATCAACAATCACCCAAATCGAATCATGTCCTCTCAAAGTATTGGGCAACCCCGTCACAAAGTCCATTGAAATACTATCCCATTTCCATTTTGGAACTTCTAACGGTTGCATCAATCCTGCAGGCTTCTGATGTTCGACTTTCGACTTCTAACAAGTCAAACATGCATACACAAACCGAGCCACATCACTCTTCATCCCAGGCCACCAAAACAAACCTTTCAAATCTTGATACGTTTTTGTAGCTCCTGGATGAATACTCAACTTACTTCTATGAATCTCTTCAAGTATCACTTTCTTCATCTCAGCATCATCAGGAATACAAATCCGGTTACGAAATCTCAACACACCTTGCTCATCTAACTTGAAATCACTATTCTCATATTGATCAATCCCAACCATAAAGTCTACCAGTTTCACATCTAACTTCTGAGCTTCTCTGATACTGTCTAGAAATTCATTATTAATCTTCAACATACCCAACATAACACTCTGCGGAGTAACCTCGCAAACTAAGATCATATCTCTGAACTGCTCAATCAATTCCAACTCTTTAATCATCATTGCTGACATATGTAAAGTCTTTCGACTCAACGCATCAGCTACCATATTCGCCTTTCCTGGATGATAATTCAAACTGAAATCATAATCCTTTAACAATTCCAACCATCTTCATTGCCTCGTAT